GTGTGTGTGTGTGTGTGTGTGTGTCTATCCTTGTTAACATAGTGGAGAGTTGCTCAATTGGGTGACACTCCTCTTCTGGGGGCCCCCATCTGTCTTCCTGGTCTCCCCAAATATGGTTTTTGTTTTCTGACCAGCTTTTTCTTCCTCAGCTTCCTGACCCTGGACCCCATGCGTTGATGGTACCCAGTGTAAATGTTTCTGCTCAGCTCGGTGGGTCTGATTCAAGTGCCCTGAATATCTTTCTTTTGGTTCTTTAGGACTGATCAGCCAAGCCTTTTAGGAGAGACCTCTGTTAATGGCCCTGTATGATATGTAATGTCTCCTGCTGTTGACTGAGGACTACAGACTGATAGCCATGGGTTAAAAAACGGTGTTTCTTGAGGATTTCATCCAGAGCCTGTCCAAGCCAGTCACTGCTGCACTAACTGCAAGGGATCAGGACCAGCAACGTTTATATTCTAGATTTTAAGACATTGTACAGAGAAATTCAGAAGTGTAAAAATCTTGCACATTGACAAATACCAAGCATTTTTGCCTATGTTTATATTGTATTGTTATGAATAATGGGTGGCCTGTGGAAGAAGACCTTGCCCCCCATGTAATAATAGTAGGAATACTAGAGTTCAAATGGCTGTAAGATTAGTTTTATAAAAGTGAATACACAGATCTATTGTATTGGAGACATAACTATTTGACAATTAGTGTGACCAAAGTCTTTAGGCCGTTTTCATACATTTTTTCACCTTGTACAAAATTCTGAACTCATTTTTCTTCCAGGTTGGCGAGAAGTTGTAGGATTGAAATGCCCTCTAAGGGTTATTTTGGTTGTTCTGACTCTCAAAAGTGATTTTAAATAAGAAATTTTGGGTGTTCTTTTTATAACCAGTTTTTAATTGGTAACTGTTTTCTGTATTGTTTAAAACAGATCAAAATGTAAGTCTATTGGTAGAGATTTTAAGTATTTATTGCTACAACTTAGTTGACAAATTGATGTTACTGTAAAGCCATACGTTCTGTTCAGTCTTGTTTGCTTGAAATGATTCCTCACGCCGATGAAACACTAGGTTATTTGGAGTGGAAATGGCTGGTGGTTTGGGGTTGGGGCTTTGTTCTTTTGGTTTTTGGTAGTTCAGCTGCCTCTTAACCCATTCATTCACCAAATTGTACCTTGTTAACCAAGCATTACAAATGAACATTTCAGAACAATCTGCATATTTATAATACTCTACTCGTATTAGGCAAGCCACCGGAGTCAGTGCACGCACTGCTAATAGAATTAGCATGCGTTTGGTTTTTTTGGGCATAGCATTTTAAAAGTACAAATCAGAATTGGGCACCTGAGCATGTTCATTGTTTTCCTGTACCTTGTGAAGTTTTCCCTCGTAAATTCTAAGCCAGTGTATTTTTCTAGACCTGGTTTGTGTATATATAGTGATTATGGATACTAATTCATTGTAATTTATAATTTTCTACGTCAGTATAAAATCCACCCGCCTTCTCTCTCAGCAGAAGCGATGGGCCGCCTGTCGCCGCGTTGTCTGTCTGGCGAAGGGGTCACTTCTATGTTACCTCTTGCCCTTTTAGATGCAGATCAGTTTTTCATTTCTGTAACAGAAAGTTCTTCACCTATTTTTACGTCATTCGTTTTCTCCTGACCAGTATTTAAAACCCAAAGGACACTCTGAACGATGGCCAACGACTTTTTAGAAACAGCCTCCCAAGCAGCGTGCCTAAACATTGCATTACATACAGAAATAAAAAAAATCAAATGTGTGACGGCTTATTGCTTGTTCCTTTTCCATTTCCAATGGGATTTCCAGAGGCACAGTGGGACTCCAGTCCAAGAGGCAGAGGTGGGCGGGTCTCCTTCCTCCTTGCCCCTGCCGGTCATTTCCCTGGGGCGATCTGGGCCTGTGGTAACCGGGGGAGGGGACTGGAGTTTGTACCTCCCTTGGCTGGCTCCAACAAGCCCCAGTCCTTCTCTGGGATCCAGCAGTTGCTTGTCGACTTCCTTGAGGGGCTGTGAGGGTCCTGTGGCTGGAGAACCGGCCCCAGGGGATCCCACAAGGCAGAGGTTGGGGGTTTTCTGTGTAGTGGAGGGTCGGACAGGAGGAGGAGAAGGAGAAAAGCCTCCTGCAGAAGGTGCCTTGATGGTACAAGGCTGGACGAGCTCCCCTCCCCTGATTTGGTGTGTTCTCTTTTTAAATCAGTGCATTATGCCCTTTGGATGTACCGAATCATAACACTGAATATAAAAGAAAATAAAGCCTCCTCATTCTGAATTTCTAGCACAGTTTTCCTGCCTCCCTCATGTGGTAGTGAGCCGGGTGGAAATAGCAGGACCTGGAAAAGAGGCTGGAGCAGATTTTAATGGGGCAGGCTCTGCCCAGAGCGGGCTGGGGATCCTTGGCCTCGAAGCCTTCTTGAACACTCTTCTGAGTATTTCTGTGTGTGTCTTCAAGGTTTATGGTGAAATTCTGTGAGAACTCTGCCCTCTTATCCTTTCTCTGGCTCCTGGGTAGGGGTGTGACCCTCGGCCGCAGCTTCAGCGGCCTGCTGGATGACCGCAGGGACGGCTCAGCGTCCTGTCGCCTGGTATCTTCCAGGCAGAGTCTTTGCGGCCTCCCTTTGTACTGCCCACCTCCTCCCCAGCCCAGCTCTGTCTCCCTTTCTCAAGAAGCTCCTGCAGGCAGGCGGGCAGGCATCACCCGGGCTCTCCCCGTCTCTGCCCCCACGACTCTCCACGTGCCTTGTTTCCTCCCATCTGCCGGGTTTCCAGTTTTTTCTACCGCTATGCTCCCTTCTTGTGTCATTCAGTCGAGCTGAATCCCACCCGTGAGGGCCCCATCCGCAGGGGCTCCTCTTCACCTCTTACCAGCTGAATCCTCGTTTTTGTGTTTTCCTCGGTTGTGCAGCAGGGAGCAGGCAAGGTGTGAATCAAGCTTCTGGCCCTTCCTCTCATGAGTCAGATGCTTTTAGAAAGAGAGGGAGAAAGCTGCCAGGCTCCTTGGGTGTATGTGCTGTTTGTATAACACCTAATACGCTGGAGCCTGTTGCTGCCAGCATTCTGCAGGGGCAGGAAACGGAGACTGAAGGGTTAAGTGCTTTGCCCGGAGTCCCACAGGCAGCGTCAGGATTAGAGCCCGGATCTCTTTGCCTCAAGCCCGCCCCTCTGCCTTGCTTCCCTGAAACACAGGCCTCACAACCACAACAGGTGCTCAGGTTTCCTACGTGGGCAATTACAGGGGTCAGCACAGCCAGCCCAGAGCAGTGAGTTAACCTGCTCACCCTCCTGCTCATTACGCTTCACCTGCCAGGTAAATCAAGAGAGCCTGAAGACGCAGAATTTTTATCCCCGCGTGTTCCACTCGCCGGTCCTTTTTCCATATTCTCCATGATGGTCGGCCACCATCACGGCTCTTTATGAAGGCCAGTGAAGTCCACCCCTGAGGTCACCTGCACAGAATTCCTGCTGACCTACCGCTGCCATTTCTGGTAGCCTCTGGGCCCTGGGAGCTCGGTGCAGTGCTGGGAGGATGTGGTGTCACTTAAGCTTTCCTTGGCTCAGAGAAAGGCCAGGGTCAGTCACGATGCCTGGTTCACATCTCCCCCCAAGTAAAGATGCCCCCCCCTCCACGCTCCACTGGGCAGCGTCTTCTGGAGTTGCTGGAGATCACAGGTCCAGGCTGGGAGCAGGTTAGCACGTGGCCCTGGAGGGGATTCGCCTTTGGCCCCTGAGCCCCTCGGGGGCTCATATGACCCATGTGCCTCATGGCAGGAACGAAGCACTGACCGTCGCCCCGGTGCAGATTACAAGTGTCCAGCGGAGAGCGACAGGCTTTGAAAGAGGGACCATGGAGAGCAGTTACTGCCCGAGGTTATGGGCAGTGCGGGGCGTCCACCCACTGTCCCTGCTCCCTTCCAGCTCCATCATACTTCTTGTTTCTCACAATTTCCAGGCCCTTGTGATGTCGCTTCTCAGCCCTTTCTGTCTATGCCCCCTGTCTTCTAGCTCCCATCCACCCCGGGAGTCGCCTTGTTTTTGCCCACTTTCCCCATGACCCATGAGGCTCACCACGTGGCTCACCCCTTCTCATCCCATCCTACTCGGGTGCTTTGATAGCCAAGGCTGGGACTTCTCTGGTGTTAAAATTGTATCTTGTTCTGGCCCCCTGGCCACCCCCTTCTGGTCAGTGTAGTAAGTAAGCTTCTAAGTAGCATAAAGGGGCAGTAGCAGCCTTCCCAAAGACCAGAGGAGCCTGCTTACACATTGTGTCATCGAGTAACCCCAGTTCACATCCTGGTAATATGTGTTGAATCAGTGGGAGCCATTGGGACACTGCCCTCCAATACGGTGAATCCCAGACGAATTCCAGACGGAGCAGCAGAACATGGAAAGAGGCTGATAGCTTTGAGATGATTTGCATATGTTAATGAACTAACCCAAGGTGGCAGAGATAGGAGTTAGTCTGTTCTCCTCAAACTCCTGCTCCCAGACCCTCCTCCCTCTCTCTGGAGTCCCTGCTGTCCCATCCTCTTCCTCACACTGCCTGCCTTCATCCTGTCCCCCATCCTCACGCCATCCACCTGTGGATCCCTTTCACTGCTCATCTCTACCCTCTGTGGTTATTAAGGTGTGATTGCAGCCCCGTTTTCCTTGAATTATTGCCTCCTTCCCCCTACTCCTCCTGCTTTTCTTAATCTTCGTTTTCCCCGGGCTGAGGCTGGGACACTTTCTCTCTTCATCTCTGCTTCCTGGCCTCCTTCAAGTCCCAGCTAAAACCCCACCTTTTCCAGGAAGCCTTTCCCCATCCCTCTGAATCCAGTGAATCCACTGCCTTTTCTCTCTGGGTTATCTCCAGTTTATCCTGTCTGTGTTTTGTTTTTACACAGAATGCAGAACATTTATTATTTCATGTTAGGTGTTGAGCTTCTTGAGCAGGGACTGTCTTGCCTTTCTTTGCTTTCCCAGTCCTTAGCACATAGTGTATTGACTGACTTCCATTTCGTTCAGATTCCTCTCTGTTCTCCCGTGATAAACCTTGTGATCAGCTTCTTCAGAATGCCTCTTCCCACCTTGGCTCCTTTGTTTTCACCCCACTAACCTTGGAGTCTGAATACCCAATTGATTCCTGTTTTCTTGTTCAGTTGTTTTTCAGTCGTGTCTGACTCTCCGTGACCCTATTTGGGGTTTTCTTGGCAGAGGTACTGGAGGGGTTTGCCATTTCCTTCTCCAGCTCATTTTGCAGATGAGGAAACTGAGGCAAATAGTTCAGTGACTTGCCCAGGGACATACAGTCATTAAGTGTTTGAGGCTGGATTTGAACTCAGGAAGGTGAGGCTTCCTGACTCCAGGTCCAGCGCCACCTGGCTGCCCTACCTGTTGGGTGCCTAGTATGTGCAAAGAAGTGGCAGGGGCTGATGGTATGCAAAACTTCCTGGTTCTCTGTAGCCCCTGAGCCAGCAGACTTCACAGCCTAGCTCGCCATTTGTCTGGGAGGCTGGAGGAGATGACCAAGTCATCCGAATGCATCTGGGAGCATTTAGGGATGCTTTCCATCACCTCCCTGCCTTGATGACCTTGCCTCTTACGTTAGTGACGTGAGGCCGTCCAACATCATCTCTCTCGATTCCCATCCTCCAGGACTTCAAGTCCTCATAATTCTCGTTTCCTTTGCCCTTGTCTTAGGGGAGAAATAGGGGCCTCTTGCCAAATTCTGCCTGTATTCTTCACGGCGTGGCGGGCTCTGTGACTATCTTTTCAGTGTGGTACGATGGAAAGAAGAATTGGTTTGGAGTCAAGCCCCAGTCTGGCCCCTTAATGTTTTATGTTTGTGTGTTGCTTCTCTCCTCATCAGTAAAATGAGGCAATTGGAATGAGATGACTTTTGAGGTTCTTCCAGGTCTAAATGTATGAGCCTCTCCTACATCCTTAGCCTTTCCTGTTCTCATAACCCCTTTCAGTCTACACATGTGCTCAGGCATCCCCTATCCTGCAAAAAGCCCAAGCACCTTCCCTTGAGCCATTCATGCCCTCCAGCTGCCATCTTGTTTCTTCCCTTGTAGCCAGGTGGGGGGGGG